TATATATATATATATAATATTTCATATACATCTATATACATAATTTTAGAATAAAAATAAAATAAATATTTTTATTTTTTTTATTTTTACATTTTTCCTTTTCCTATTACCATAGTTTTTAAAATAAAATAAATATATATCACAATAAATAATATATAAAAATAATATGAATATATATAATATACATATCTATATGTAAATTCAACGTTTTTTATCAGGTCAGTGTAATAAAATCCTGGAAAAACTGAAATGTTGAATGATGGATCCTTTCGATCGATTTTTTTCTGCTCATTCATTCCATTTTTTCCCATAATTTTTATAGTACTTTTCCCTCCGCGTAATGAGTCTGTCGGTTTAACATAAATTTCTTCACTCGATGTAATTAGTGCTGGGTAAAATAGCACGTAGCACTTGGAGAGTCGGAGGCTAAATAAACTGAATCTCAAGTGGATTTATCTGCCTCTTTCCCAGGCTAGGCGCCCTTCCTCGGCAGCATCTCTCGAGTGTAGCAAAAACTGGAAGATCTCCTCGAGAAGATCTTTTATTACTCGTCCAAACTCGTAACAATGTCAATTTGCCATGTAAAAACGTGTCAAATGAGAAATAATGGTGGAAGCTGGGCAGTGAATCCCTGATAAATGCTGATAAAAGGAAGATAAAAAAGTGGATCAAGAGAAAATCAAATGTTGAATTAAATATGGACATGTGTGGGAGCCATCGACATATCGAATTACTTGTGGATACGTCACGGTGGGCGTTCACCACTGTCATGACGATCTTTTACATGTAATTCGATCCTTGAGGGCGACCCTATTATTTCAAATTGTTTCAAATTGTTTTCCATGTATCGGCGAGAATATAAAAATTGCTTTAAATTCTGACATAACGTTTTTAAATAAAATATGCAGGAGAATTAAAAAATATTTTGAATTATCAATAATTTATTTTTGTATATTAAGATTAATTAAAAATGTAAAAATTACTTTAAATTCTGACATAAAGTTTTTAAATAAAATATGCAGGAGAATTAAAAAACATCTTGAAATCTCAATAATTTATTTTTGTATATTAAAATTAATTAATTGTTTTCCATGTATCGGCGAAAATATAAAAATTACTTTAAATTCTGACATAACGTTTTTAAATAAAATATGCAGGAGAATTAAAAAACATCTTGAATTATCAATAATTTATTTTTGTATATTAAGATTAATTAATTGTTTTCCATGTATCGGCGAATATATAAAAATTACTTTAAATTATGACATAAAGTTTTAAAATAAAATATGCAGGAGAATTAAAAAATATTTTGAAATCTCAATAATTCATTTTTGTATATTAAGATTAATTAATTGTTTTCCATGTATCGGCGAAAATATAAAAATTGCTTTAAATTATGACATAAAGTTTTAAAATAAAATATGCAGGAGAATTAAAAAATATTTTGAAATCTCAATAATTTATTTTTGTATATTAAGATTAATTAATTGGTTTCCATGTATCGGCGAAAATGTAAAAATTACTTTAAATTCTGACATAAAGTTTTAAAATAAAATATGCAGGAGAATTAAAAAATATTTTGAATTATCAATAATTTATTTTTGTATATTAAGATTAATTAATTGTTTTCCATGTATCGGCGAAAATATAAAAATTGCTTTAAATTATGACATAAAGTTTTAAAATAAAAGATGCAGGAGAATTAAAAAATATTTTGAAATATCAATAATTTATTTTTGTATATTAAGATTAATTAATTGTTTTCCATGTATCGGCGAAAATATAAAAATTTCTTTAAATTCTGACATAAAGTTTTAACAATAACAAATGCCTGGATAAAATTTGAGATTAATTCGCAACACCATTTTGTAATTGTAAATTATTAAAGTTCTCAATTAATTCAAAAGTAATTGGTTTTATCGCACACACGAATCTAAATGTGTAATTGCATTTTTAATTCATTAATTCATTAATTATGAAAATGAAATTATAAATTATTCGGATTTATTGGGTTAATAAATATTAATTATCAGGTGTTAATAAATATTAATCCTAACTGTTGTACAATCTAATTAAACAGTAAAAAATGACATTAACAATTAAGAATTGATCAATAAATTGTTAAAAATTCTGACATACCGTTTTTACACAATAACAAATGCCTTTATAAACTTTGAGATTAATTCGCAACACCATTTTGTGGTTGTTAATTATTAAAGTTCTCAATCAATTCAAAAGTAATTGTTTTCATCGCACATACAAATCTAAATATATAATAACATTCTTAATTCATTAATTTATCAATTATGAAACTGAAACCATAAATTATTCGGATTTATTGTCTGTCGATTCGGCTGGTGCAATTATTTGTTAATGTACGTTCATGTGTAAATAAATATAAATCCTAACTAAATAAAGAGTAGAAAATTACACGAAAATTAAGAATTAGTAAATACCCAATTGATTGATAAGTATAATGAATAATAATAATTAATGAGTGAGTCAATCTTAATTTTTGGATTGGCAGAAAAAATTATCTTTTTGTTCGGCAATTGTTGATGGGGATTGAAAAAAATATTGAATAATGATGTTGAATGATTAACAATTCCAGGGGCTCTTCTCTTATTGAAAAAAAATAGGTCGACCCTCGGGAAAAGTCATAAAAAATCGGGGGTGTCGAGACTCCGGGTTTCGCGATGGCGCCAGCGCGCACCCGAGACGAGAGGAAAACCTCTCGTTTCAATTTATGACTTTCCACATGCCCCGAAAATTTTTCAATGACCACTTGAAAATTCTTACCAATAATCATCAACAAACCAACGTCTTCCAACAATACGTATCCCCGAAATTCAATAACAAAAAAAAAATTGTTCACACAAACAAAAAGAAAAAAAAAATTTTTCATTTTCCGATAAAATCCCTTGATGACAAAATTCCATAAATTTGATAAAAAATAAAGATGAAATAAAACTGAATTTGAGATAAAAAATAAAAATAAAAAATGGGTTATTTATACATGAAATTCTGTAAAATTACATTTTTTAATTAAAAATAAATATTTATTATTTACCGCAAAAAACACTTGATTGCAAAATGCCATAAATCTTATAAAAAATAAAGATAAAATAAAATAGAATTTGAAATGAAAAAACAACAATAAAAAATGGTCTATTGTTTTAAATAAATTGATAATACATGAAATTCTGTAAAATTCAATTTTTGAATTAAAATAAATATTTTTTATATACCGAAAAAAACACTTGATTGCAAAATGCCATAAATTTTATAAAAAATAAAGATAAAATAAGACCGATTTGATAACAAATTGCAATAAAAAATGGACTAAACTTTTAAATCAATTGATAATTCATCAGATTCTGGAAAGTCGACAACATTTTTTATTTAAGATAGACAAAAACAATTTTTAAGGATTTCTCAACGAAGAAAACCGAACACGAACGAAAAGGGTGGAGAGTCTTTCCGGAAAACTTTGATTTATGGTATTCGGTAGTTTTTCATTTGGCAGAACGAGTCCTGTAGTTTTCTTCCGCAAATGCGGATTGAGTTATCACGAGGGGAAAGTTACCTCTAATGTAACACGTGGACACCAGATTTACGTATGTCAGGAGGATATCACGAGGAAGTGGTCATTGTTCGGGTCCTGGGGGACACATCCTTTTCGTATTGTTGGCGACAGCCTCCGGTTACATTTTATTAGGGTCTGGGGTCGCGTGTCTTTTCTGGTGTATTGCCTGAACGTCTTCAGAGGTGGTCGGCGCCAGACCTGCAACATCATCCTCTCTTCTTCCTCTTTCTGATCCCCTAACGCCCAATATTTTACATCAACCGTAACATTTCATTTTCATCAAAAAATAAATTTGATTGAATTTCGATTCAATCTTATATTAATTCAATAATATGAGATGTGTAGTCTACTTAATGGTTTATGATCAGAGATAAATAATTTGTTGCAGCGATATCTGTTTGATTTATCACTGAGTAACTATCAATGGCGGGGGACAAATTAATAATATAGTTAATAATAGTGAAAGTCGGAGGTGAGATTGTACAGTGGTATTTTAGCTGAGGGAATGGCTCTTCTGATAATTCAACAAGAATATCACCGGAAATTAAAATGTCACCTCAAACTTCTGCTTCGGCGATAATTTTTCAATTTTCAGTCAAACATATTATTATTTATCATGATATTTCAATCTTGGCGTTTTACTCGATACAATATGTATTCACACGCCATTTTTCTATTTTCAAGTGGAAACTATCAATTTTTCACAGCTGAATATTTTTCCTGGGGAATAATAATCTTGGGACGAGAAAATTTTGGGGTGTAGACCTGAATGAAGTACATTGTTGGAAAATTACACTTGAAATTCCAATCAAAAACATTAAAATTTTAACAATAACAAAGTGACGTGAATTTCTGTAGAATTCTTCATTGACAAATCACTCAATTTCTTGAATATGCCGACCATTTTCATCTCCACTTTTGCAAAAATATCAACAATTCAAGTTTTCATTAAAAAATAAATTATAATTCACCAAAAAACCTCAATATTCTTGAATTATCAAAATCTAAAATTTAAATTTCAAAACGGTAAATTTAATTTCCGTTTCGAATTAAAATACACAGCCTCATATAACTCAAAATCCCGATGACTGTATAATTCAAAGAGAAGAATATTATATTATATTAAATTTATCTGAAATTTTTCAATTACCCAGTGAAACTCATTAATTTTCCCTGAATATTTTTCTCTACAATTTTTCAATTACCCAGTGAAAATCATTAATTTTCCCTGAATATTTTTCCTGATAGACAAAATAATTTCCCATGCACGTTGAATTATCTCCCAGTAATGCGACCGAATTTCCTGATCCCAAGATAATCCCCAAATCGAATTAATATCTTCTTAAATCACATCTCCCACCCGAAAAAAAGAGTATCCAACACGGAGCAACCAATTTAGTAATTGAATCCTCCAGCCACATGGAATAGCTTGTGTAAAAGACTCCGCCCATGGGGTGTGGCCCATGATCCCATCCCACTTGCCATTGGTTTTTTATCCCATTGGGGATTTGGTGTTGATACCAATGCCGGGGGTTCCCTAGATCAGTGTCACTTCTGCAGCATCCGAAACCGCGCACGCGTCTGCATCTAAAATTCGAAAAAATCATCACCAAAAATTCATAATTCATCTTCAATCATTTATCATCCAGTGAATCCAGTGATAATTCGACAGTGACAGTGATCAATTAAAAAATAATCGGTGACGATTGATTGGGATTTCGTTTTGTTGTTCAGTGAAAAATTAATAATGCTAGGCGGTTACGAGGCACAAGCGGATTATTATCCGCAGTGGCACCAGCCGTATGATTACATTACGCAATTACCGTATGGTGAGATGATTTTTATTGTTTGGGTAATGGAGGGTCACGGAGAAAATTGTTCTAGAAAAATTCACGGTGTTAGGATAATAAAGAAGTACGGATTTGATTTGAGCAAGTGAAAAAAAAAGGATTTAAAAGTGATAAGGATATGAGCTTTACTGATTTTTCTGATCAATTTCTCGGTTTTCGGGTTGATCAAGTTTTTATGTCCATTCTCGGTTTGATTCAAGTCCATTGAGGATAAGTTTTGTACTTGATTCAAGTTGATTCTTCCACTTGATTCAAGTCCGTTCGGATTAATTGTTTTCTGGTATGAGAGTCGATTTTTTATTGTCTGGGGTGGTTTAACCTTGATTTTTAAACTTGATTCAAGTTGAATTTGAAAGCTGAGTCAAGTTCCTTGGAATTGATTTTTTCACTTGAGTCAAGTCGATTCTTTGGCGTGAATCAAATTGCTTCGATCTTTTCTGAAACTTATATCTAAGTTGATTCACCCCTGATTTTTCAATACTTGATTCAAATCAATTCTTCGACTTGAATCAAGTTGAGTCAGCCCTGATTCATCAACATGATTCAAAACGATTCTTTTCTCTTTTCTTTCGATTTGATTCAATTGCTTGAAACTGCTTTTTCCACTTGACTTAAATTCATTAAGACCGTGTTCTCCACTTGACTCAAGTCAAATCAATTCCTTGGCCTGATCTAAATCAATTCAATCAGCTTTATCAACCTAATTCAAGTCAATTCGTCAACTTGATTTAAATCCCATCATACCATTTTCTTCACTTGATTCAAGTCAATTCTTTAACTCAATTCAAATCTCTTCAGACTGTGGTCTCGACTTGACTCAAGTCAAATCAATTCCTTGGCTTGATCCAAGTCAATTCCTTCAGTTTTATCAATTTAACTCAAGTTGATTCTTCGACTTGATTTAAATCCCTTCAGAGCGTTTCCTTTACTTGATTCAAGTCAACTCTTCAGCTCAATTCAAATCTCTCCAGATCGTGCTCTCCACTTGATTCAAGTCAAATAAATTCCTTAGCTTGATCCAAGTAAATTCCTTCAGTTTTCTCAATTTAACTCAAGTTGATTCTTCGACTTGATTTAAATCCCTTCAGAGCGTTTCCTTTACTTGATTCAAGTCAACTCTTCAGCTCAATTCAAATCTCTCCAGATCGTGCTCTCCACTTGATTCAAGTCAAATAAATTCCTTGGCTTGATCCAAATAAATTCCGTCACTTTTCTCAATTTAACTCAAGTCAATTCTTCAACTTGACTCAAATCCCTTCCGACCGGTCTGTCCACTTGATTCAAGTCAATTCTTCAGTTCAATCTACCTCAAGTCCACCCGATTTCACCTCGTGATTCAGACCTTAATTTCACCCCATTAACCGATCTTTTAACTCAACCTCCCAGGTCACATAAACATCCCAGATGCGGACAGTCAATCAACCTATTGGGGTGGTGGTGACTCCGGAATATCGGGCGGTTCCTCAGGTGCAGGTAGTCCAGCGGCATCAACACCACCTCCAATAATCGAAGAAATCGGTATCCAAGATGGAGTTTACAGCTCTCCAGTGCAGCATTACTCCCCACCGGTGCACCAGCCATATCACAACATCCCTTATCAGCACCTCCAACAGCCCCAGCAGATGCCACACCCCGTTCCCCAGGAAATGGATCAGAAGAGCAGATCAGCGGAATATGGCAGCTCGTTGCACCAGATGACGGTTACCGGTAATTCCACCCATTTTCAGATGAATCTCCAACAGCATCTGGCGTCCAGGGTGGAAAATGGCGTCGTCATCAGACCGAAGAGGCGAAACACTGCCAATAAAAAGGAGAGAAGGCGAACGCAGAGCATCAATAATGCATTTGCCGATCTCAGGGATTGCATTCCTAATGTTCCTGCTGATACCAAATTATCCAAGATCAAGACCCTCAGACTCGCTGCGTCGTACATTGGGTATCTCATGGCGGTTCTTGATAGCGATGAGGGAGAGGAACCGCAGACTTTCCGGGCGGAAATACTATCCAACGGGCGACGGAACAAGTCCCAACAAATTACGGTGGGTCTTCCTGAATATTTTTATTTATTTCAGGATTTTTATATCGATATCGATATCGATTTGTTAGTGCATATGGAGATTACTATAATATAGGAGATTCTGCCTATTTGGTAAATTATTTTTTAGTTTGACCTTCATGGGAATTTTTACCGTGTAGAGTAGTGGGAATATAATTATAATTATGGTGAATGATACTATAATTATAATTATGGTAAATGATACCATGAGCATGTCGGACCGTTTACCGTGCGCAATTGAATTTAGAAAAGATTGTTTTATTAGAACCTAGAGATGAGGTAATTCTCATTATCCAACAATTACAAGAATATTTTTTTGGCAGACATTATAAATCATATTTAATTGATGTGGATGAGCAGACGTCGCCGAAACTCACACTCCAAGAAATTAAACATTCTTCATTATCATACACGGAGAGAAATATTTAGTAAAAATTACGGAACTTTTAGTTCACTTACCGATTACAGAGTTGATTCGAAAAATTTAAGTGATGGTATCGTTATTTTTCACCGATAATTCAGATAAAAATTACGGAACACCCCGGAAAAATTCTGTGACTTTAGATAAAAATTACGTGACAGTTCCATAAAATTTCCGACAACCACATTTCGCTCCAGAATTACGGAAAATACACGTAATTTTTATTGAATATTTCTCACAGTGTAGAGATGAGGTAATTCTCATTACCCGACAATTACAAGAATATTTCTTTTGGCAGACATTATCAATCATATTTAATTGATTTGGATGAGCAGACGTGGCCGAAACTCACACTCCAAGAAATTAAGCATTCTTCATTATCATATGTAGCTACTTCCGGAAATGGAAAGAAATATCTTCCAAAACGTTGGATTTGAACTTTTAGTTGAAAATTAAATAAATTTTTAAGATAAAATGTCATTGATATATTTATATAATTATATTAGATCGTTTTGTTTGAAAAATTATTTTATGAATTCAATGCCTTGATCAATTACAGAACGAGATGTGCCAGTCCTTGGAGAATTACCCGAACGAAGAGCTATCGAAAGGCAAAGGACGAACTGGATGGCCCCAGCACATGTGGGCCCTCGAGCTCAAGCAGGAGACGTCATCCACAAATCCGTCGACGGCGACGTCAGTTCATCAGTTACAGTAAATACCTCCCCCTTTGATTCATCAGAAAAAAAAACTAGCCGTTCAGTACGCGCGTTGGAATGATTTATGATTTTTTTCTGATCGCGTTGAGAGAAAAATTGGATCTGCCGAAAAGACGAATGTTTACCTGTAGAGAATTCACTGTCTCGAGATTATTTATCCGGAGGAAAAATGTTCGGCTGTCAAAAAATGATAGTTGCCACTTGAAAATAGAGAAATGGTATGGGAATGTATATTTCTGGATTTCTTTTTGTCAGTGGGTTATTTTAATTTGCAATTATTCGAGGTTGAATTCAATTTCAATTAAAAATGGGAATTGAATTTATGAGTTATCTTGAGAATTTAAGAGAATTGGTTTGATGTTGACGGATGATTGATTTTTCAATGAAGACTTGAATTTTCAATCTTTTGACGGTTTTTCATTGCCATGTGGACCTGGAAATTGAGAATTATCAGATTATTCATGAAGTTAACTGATTCGTCAATTAAGCATTCTCCAGAAATTTCATATCCCTTTGTTATTGTTAAAATTTTAATGTTTTTGATTGGAACTTCAAGTGTAATTTTCCAACAATGTACTTCATTCAGTTCTACACCCCAAAATTTTCTCGTCCCAAGATTATTATTCCCCAGGAAAAATATTCAGCTGTGAAAAATTGATAGTTTCCACTTGAAAATAGAAAAATGGCGTGTGAATACATATTGTTTCGAGTAAAACGCCAAGATTGAAATATCATGATAAATAATAATATGTTTGACTGAAAATTGAAAAATTATCGCCGAAGCAGAAGTTTGAGGTGACATTTTAATTTGCGGTGATATTCTTGTTGAATTATCAGAAGAGCCATTCCCTCAGCTAAAATACCACTGTACAATCTCACCTGCGACTTTCACTATTATTAACTATATTATTAATTTGTCCCCCGCCATTGATAGTTCCTCAGTGATAAATCAAACAGATATCGATGCAACAAATTATTAATCTATGATCATAAAACAATACATCCACTCTACATATCTCATCTCATCCCACCAAATAAAACACTTTCGGCAGAGCCCATTTTTTCTCTGATAAATTACCTCTTCAAACTGGTAAATTACCTGTTTCAAGCCGCAATGTGCAGATTATTTAGCCAGCACTCGAAAAACCCCAACCAAAAGCCAAAAATTTCTTGGAAAAAATGTCTAGTTTACGGTCCAAGTATTGTAAAAAGTCTAGGCTAGTTTGTAAATAAAAATACCAAAGTATTAAACCGGTGTTTCATGTACTATTATGTGTACTCTCTTGTATATAGATACTTTTTCAATCACTCCCATCACGAAATAAAAAGTCTCTACCGAAGGAGTATTAAAGAACAACCAAACCCTGCGATTCAAACTCCAAATGTACTTTTTATTTATTTACCATTTTATTTACTACTTCTAGTTTCTGTTCCCAAAAGAATTTATTTTTATTCTATTATAACAACAAAACAACTCATACCTATAAGTTTGTAAAAATTTTGTATAAAAGACTAAAGTATCTTAATAAACATCAGAATAAATTCAAAATACTGTCCAATTAATCTAAATTTTAATTATATAATTAACCCTTTTAAACTGAATATTTCCTTAAGGCCCGGACGGACTGCCTGGAAAAGATAATTTACTCCAAAATTGGGACTTCTAATTACTCCATTAATTAATCGTTTTTTCCGATAATTGTTAGCTAGAGGCCTAGTTGTTGACAATCGCTAGAACGCTAGCTAACAATTATTGAAAAAAACGATTAATTATCAAAATAATTAGGAATCCGAATTTCGGAGTGAATTATCTTCTCTAGATAATCCACCCGAGCCTTAAAACCATCAATGCCATATTTTTTTTATTAAAACAATTTCCTCTCGTTTTCTACGATTCAAAGAAAATCCATCGCTCATCCTTTTTTCCTCAAACGTTCCGACTGATTCCCTCATAAAAGCCGTCATTATCCCCCTAGAAAACGAATTCCGAAAGATTCTCCAAAAATGATACCCAATAACACTTAAAAATCGCCGCCAAGCCGAGTGTAAACGATACATTTCCCTCAAGTTCTCCGAATCTCCATTTTCCCGACAATAGATGCCTTGTCCCCTGAAGAAGAGGAAGAGTTGATGTAAAAAAAATCCCAGGGTATCAAAAATCCCCACCGAAAAAACCACTCATTGATCAGAGGTCAAGGAAAAATGTCTAGACATTTTGCCTCGTGTGCATTAACATCAGTCTTCAACTAAACATTAACAGAGACATTGTACTAATTGTTTACTGATAAAAAATCCTGAGTGAATTGCCATTTGTTTAGAGAATACGTCGAGTGATATTGAAGGCGCATTGAATTTTTTTTCTGACAGCTAGGCCCTCGTACCTCTGATGTGGCACCACATAATTCACTCTGGTCGAGACGCCACGTCGTATTAGGATCAAATTTCTGCGAGGATGTCTTCTAATTTCAGAGTCCAGCTTCCGTTCCTGACAAATAGTCCGTGTGGACAGGGTTCACTGCATTATGTAAACAGAACTCGAGACTGAAATATTTGAGATCCACTTGACACGACAAAAAAAAAATGTACTTGAATAAAGTATATTTAATACTTTATTCTACTAAATCCGATTTTCAATGAATATCGATAAAAAATTGATTTTTCGTTTATTTTAATAAATTATAATTCTATTCAATTCCAATGATTCTAATAAATTATAAATATAACAATTATGAATAAACGAGGATTGAGTATAAAGTATACTTGATTAAAGTATTCAATTTTTTTCGTGCGATTTTTTCATTTACATTTGCTGTATTAATTTTTTTTTCTGTGAAAATCATAATCTGGAGTGATAATAATAATAATCATAGGGATTACTATTATATAGCGGAATAGTAATTACTATTAGCTAGTGATATCAATAATAGTAATTACTAGAACAATTAATACTATTAATAATAATTTCTATTAATACTAGTAATAATAGTAACTATTAATAATAATTACTATTATTACTAATGATAATGTTAGTAATGGTAATTACTATTGGCATTAATAGTAACTACTATTATATAATGTAATAGTGGTGACTATTATTATTATTCAATAGAAATAAAAAAATTCAATTCATGAAAAAAACAAAAACAAAAGTATAATTAAAAAAAAAATTAAACTCGCAAAAAACACTGGATTTTTGGACTATCGCCAATATTTTTTGGCGATAAAAAAAAGGAGACACTGGGGATTAATTAATAAAAATTTTCTCGCAAGTGTCTGATTTTACCCGCCATTTTTTAAAATTCTGCTTTATTTTAAATCTCATGAGCTGGAAGGAAAATAATTGCACAATTAGATTTTACGATTCCCAGAAAAATGATATTTTTCTCGGACTCAATCAGCGACAGCTCCGAAAATTGACGGAATGTATCAGATTTTTTAAATTTTATTTCTACAGAAATTTTGGAAAAATAATTGTCAATTGCGTGTTACGCGAAATGTTTCGCTATTTTTCTTGAGTATTTTTTCCGTGCATCACAATACGTCCAGTAATATATTTTTTTTATGTCAATGGATATAAGTACAGTTAAAGGGGAAGTGAGCACGCGTCAAATATACCGCACGCGCAGATAGCAGAGACGTAAACTCTCGCCTTTGATGCATCCCAGAACACCTAATCCAGATAAACATTATTTTATTTTTAGTTGGTGCTCTGATGCTCCTCGATTTACCGACGCACTTGTAATTAATAAAATGGATTGAATCAACTCCTCGGTGATCCAATCATTACGTAAATCAAGGGGGCAAGTTGAGATCAGTCACAGCGAAGGGGAGAAAGTCAATATAATAAACCGAATCATCCCCATTATTTCATAGACGAGGGGCATTACCCACCCCTCTCTATTCAATTACTCCTCAATTGGTTAAAGCAATACTTAAAATCTCTCCACAAGTCTATCTAAATCATCAGGCCAGCAATCTGTTAGGCAATTAAAGTGTCATCTTGACCAGCACCAGGTGGACCGTCACAGGAGTAGACCACCGTGAAACGAGTCATTGATTTTTTGGAAAATCATTAAAATGTCATTAACAATTACCCGACGATTTCTTCTAGCTCATGAAAAAATCATTGGAAATTTTCGTTACATTTCTGTTGAAATTCCTCAGAATCTAAGGGAAATAGCGAAATTTTCATCATTACCTTTTTTGTAGAGGGGATTGAGACTCATAAAAAAGGTTATTACAAAATTTTTGTAATTTATTAACTAATGGAATTAATAATCTTTCAATTCTGTAGCGAAGGGATGAACTAGGGTAAGTGCAATTTTTTCGACGTCAATTTTTCGCCAATATCTCGAAATTGAAGGGAGATGACGATTTTTTTATATATACCTTTTTTGTAGCTCTGACTCTTCGCTATAAAAAGTGTTTAGATGAAAAATTCGCTATGTCCCTTCAATTCGGAGATATTCGCTGAAAACCGGCCTCGAAAAAAATGCACTGATCCTATAGTTTACCATTTCGCTACATAATTAATAATCAGTCCGTAATACCTAGAAAAAAAATCGGGAATCCCCAGATTTTCTGTAATAAAAATCGATTAAAAATTTGATTTCAATGAATTCCCGTTTTTTTTTTATTTGAGCACGAACAGGTACCGTAAAAATTGAGTTTTCATGTTTCCAAATAGTTAATAACAATTTCAATACATTTTAAGTCTAGGTTTTTAAAATCTTTATCGCTGGTGTACAGAGACGTGTGGAATTACAATTTATTATTGACTTCCACGACATCCCGAGCGCAAACCACTGGACAAACAGCAAAACCCAAAGTTATTTTTACCGATTTAAATCAGTCGGAAGCGATTTGTAACGCAATCACAGGCAAATAAAATATTCACATACACACAAGGGCCAATGACGTGCCAAGGACTCATCTAATCCCTTCTTCGCCGGTTGCAAATGAAATTAAAATACGATTGACAGGGTTTAAGCTTGAAAGAACGTGAGTCAAGGTGACTTGTCACTGTAACTCATCTATTACACCCTATGGGGCAGACAGAAATGTTTGTAGACACTAGGTCAGAGATCCAGTCTTTACCCCACGGTGACGCAAAAAAAAAAACAAGGGAGAAACCAATTAACAATTAATTTACGTGTCAAGGTGTTCTCTTTAAAAAATAAATGGTGAAGGGTTCTGCCTAGGATGGACCGAGGACGAATGATGATGAACGATTCATTTAGGGAACACGAAGAGAAATATTTCAGAAAAATGATGGAACATTTCACGTAATCCCCCAGCGAGAATTATTTTCAGGGAATAAATCTAGAAGTTTTAGTAAATTTTTGGGTTTTGTCACCGAAAAAATTCTGAAAAAGTCACGTAATTTTTCTGGATGTTAAAATGGAATGAAACTTCAAGACTTATTATGTCAATCGATCTGATTGCCATTCGATCTCAACTCATGGTATCCCTCGTGGATATTCTAGAGAATTGTGTATGGGCGACTCGATGTCTCAATGGAAATGGAGACAAATCACCAGGAGTTTATCGAGATTGCACGCAGGGGGTCCTGGACGCGGATTCGATTTTCACCCTCTGTCGCCTCCGCAACTTTTTCCTCATTCTCATCCCCTCGGTGTTGATAAAAAAGGAGAAAAGAGCACTTGGAATAGGCACGTACTATCCACTGGGATTTAGCACGTGTACAGAGGAAGAGAGATGACAGAATTTTCCCTTCGTCTCTCAACCTGGGGATTAGGATCCCTATAAAACGTGAGGATTCTCCTGGAAAAATCACCACTTGATCTGGATATACCGAGAGGACACAATGGTTGCTACATCGTGTACAAGTGCTTGTGTGCTCGTTGCTTGCCTTCTGGCTGCTATTGATCTAGTGATTTGTGATTATGGTAATGAAAATATATATTTATTCCACTTGAAAATATCGAGATTATTTGGTTTGATAATATGTAGTCTACTTAATGGTTTATGATCAGAGATAAATAATTTGTTGCAGCGATATCTGTTTGATTTATCACTGAGGAACTATCAATGGCGGGGGACAAATTAATAATATAGTTAATAATAGTGAAAGTCGGAGGTCAGATTGTACAGTGGTATTTTAGCTGAGGGAATGGCTCTTCTGATAATTCAACAAGAATATCACCGCAAATTAAAATGTCACCTCAAACTTCTGCTTCGGCGATAATTTTTCAATTTTCAGTCAAACATATTATTATTTATCATGATATTTCAATCTTGGCGTTTTACTCGAAACAATATGTATTCACACGCCATTTTTCTATTTTCAAGTGGAAACTATCAATTTTTCACAGCTGAATATTTTTCCTGGGGAATAATAATCTTGGGACGAGAAATTTTTGGGGTGTAGACCTGAATGAAGTATATTGTTGGAAAGTTACACTTGAAATTCCAATCAAAAACATTTAAATTTTAACAATAACAAAGGGATGTGAAATTTCTGGAGAATGCTTAATTGACGAATCAGTTAAATTCATGAATAATCTGATAATTCTCAATTTTCAGGTCCACATGGCAATGAAAAACCGTCAAAAGATTGAAAATTCAAGTCTTCATTGAAAAATCAATCATCAGTCAACATCAACCCAATTCTCTTGAATTCTCAAGATAACTCATAAATTCAATTCCCATTTTTAATTGAAATTGAATTCAATCTCAAATAATTGCAAATTCAGATGCCCCACTGACAAAAATAAATCCAAAAATATGTAACTCTCAATTTTTTGACAGCTGAATATTTTCCGGGGGAATAATAATCGCGAGATAAACAGGAATTTTGATGAACAGATCATTTTTAATTGCACTTCACTCCGTGTACTTTTATTCCAGGGATTTTTGATGATTTGTATTGCAGATGGAGATCAACCGACAAGTTTGGATTTCAATGGACTCTGCAACGGGGGTAGGTGTTCAGAAACTGGCGATGGGATAGCTGGTGCTATGTGGTTTGGCCCAAGACTTGGCAGGAAGAGAAGATCTGATGAGAAAATGGAAACGATCGATGAAGACGTCGAAGCTATGGCTGATGTCATCAACGGTGGACCCTGGACTTACGTGCAATATCCCGGTAAAAATAATAATAATAATAATAATAATCACTTCATCATCGACAAATAGCGATTTTTTTCAAAAATACCTTTCGATTGTTAATTACTCGTGTTGCCGATTTCACTCGATCGATCGTGGCGGTTGAAAATTGAGAGGACGGTTTAAAAAAAAAATTGGCGAATCAATCGATTTTCAATTTTTGAATCCCTCGATTCTTCCAATTTTCTCCATTTTCACACTTTCATTCATTTTTTTGATCTACTACAATTTTTTTTATTTATTGTCAAAGTACTTTGCCGATTTTTACGAAATGTGACACCTACCGATTTTTCCGATTTTTCATTCTTTAATAACTTAATAAATAATTAGAAATTTAATTATTAATAATTTAGGTATTTTCTATTTTTGAATTTCTCGATTTTTCCGATTTTCAATTCTAATTAGTAACTTAATAAATAATTAGTAATTTAATTCTGAATAATTTAAATATTTCAAATTTCGCATTTTTTAATTAATTTCCATTTTAATAATTATTAATTATGTAAAGTGATTAACTCTCCGTAAATAATCCACGAAAGAAAACCGGTAATCGAATTCTTCAACTCCAGAATTATCAACCCTCAAATAGATTTCCCACGCATGATCTAAAGTTTGTAATTAATTTTCCATTAAAAATGGAATCCTTTATCTAAATTTCCAGGGGCCGGAGATAAACGACACACGACCCAATTCACCCCCCGACTCGGCCGAGAACTAACCGACGATATTCTCCAAAAATACCTGAATTACGATCTCGAGAGAAATCGATTGTCCCGGTACATCGACAGAGAATTCGAGGACATGACAATAAATCACCACCAGCCACCAACCCCACCACCCCAATTTGCCCCACGTCTTGGTCGTCATCTGCCCTTCAACCCTTCCCCGAGACTCGGTCGTCACCTGCGATTCATGCGAAGAGCCTGATCCCCCAGGAGTCACAATTCCAGGAGCAGACGATGAATTTAATATCACGTTTTTGCGTCCCGACAGCTTCACCTAGACATGGAGTACCATAAGACGGCATTTATACCTGTATTTTAACATTTACACGTAATTATTGTGTTGTATATAAAGTTCATGGAGATCACGTGAAATTGTGGTTTATTTTGTGGGGTTGATGGGATTCTAGACCACGAACTTCCTCTTCCCTGTCGTTAATTCCGCTTAAGGGTAATCCCGGTAAATTTTACTGGCGACGAGGAGAGAAAAATTCAATAGAAATTACCAGAGAACGTGGAAATTGGTTTTTCAATTGCAATCCTAGAGCGAAGTGAAAACTTCGAAAAGGTGGGACTTAGGAGAGAAATTGTGGGAATTTTCGCGTAAATTCTGTGATCTGTTGAAGTAAAATTACCCAGCGTCATTTTTCCTTAAGGCCCGGATGAACTGTCTGGGAAATATAATTTACTCCAAAATTGGAACTTCTAATTACTCCGTCAATTAATATAGTATAATCAATTATTACAATTAGTATATCAATTAATATATAGTAGTTGTTGACAACCACTAGAACGCTAGCTAACAATTATTGAAAAAAAACGATTAATTGCCAAAGTAATTAGGAATCCGAATTTCGGAGTAAATTATCTTTTCTAGATAATCCACCCGAGCCTTAACGATTGAGTGATTCTACGGAAATTTTTTCATCTCGTGTTGGGTCCAGAGGAAGTGGAGATTATTTATAATAATAAATTAAATGGAACTCGATCTCGCAGCTAGAATAAAATTTTGATTTAGTTTTTTTTCTTTAAAGTTTCAAATTTAAAAGTGCGAAAAATCCACTTCATATAAACAAATTCACATATAAAAAATAGAATAAATCAATTTTTTTACTTACACCAATCCTCGACTGCGGATATCCCCAATGTCCTCTGACGGCATGAACTAATTCCTGTTCTTCCTTGTCGGCGAATTATCTAGAAAAAATAATAATTTAAGAAAAAAAAATATTAACAAAAATATTCAAGTGAGAGACGTGATATAATTTTTAATTTTAACAAACTTACGGTATTTTTCGATTCATCCGTAATAATGTCCACCACTAATTTATTAATATATATAATCTCACCAATGGAATACAAATTTAAAGTCTCGATATATAAAATAAATAATATGATATAAAATAAATAGGATGATATAAAATTTTGATTTAGTAAAAATTAATTAATCAATTAATTATTTTAATTTATAAAATAAATAGAATGATATAAAATAAATAAGATGATTCTTATTTTGAATCGAAATCAACTCTTCAATCAATTTTTAATAAAAATAATACTCAAACACAAAGTAGGGATGAAATTTCCAGAAGGGATAGGTGATAACCGGAAATGGTGGGCCATGTGGTGATGTTAACGCGTGGCAATAACCGTAAAACGTAGAAACAAACAAAAACTCTTGTTTCAACAGCAACTGCACTTTCACCCATCCTCCCACTACCGATATTACCCTTTTTCAGTCGATGATTTTTCCATTGGCAGTTTATTTTTCCAGTCCCCCTTCCACCCCCCCGGGGGGTGGTGTGTGTTCCTGCTTGGATTTATGACCAGAAATTTTTCTCGGACCAATAAATGACTTGTGAAGAGGATCCACAGATAAATAAATTCAACTTTCACTTTTTGGTTTATCGAAATGGTGTTTTTGTACTTTTTTTGTCGTTTTATTAATTTTTTTTTTTGCATTTTTTTTGTTAAATGTATTCACAAAACGCTTACAATACGCTGAATTATGCTTATGAGACCCGAGCTAATTCTTCAGAACACACGTATGATACATTTTCATCGTCTTCAATTGTATTTATAGTATAGCTATGACTCAGTAGGCATCAACTTTATGAAAGGGAAATATTCGGGTGAATATAAAAAATTCGGTAGATAATGTTAGAAAATTCCATAAGATTTCTATCGACAATTTACAAAACTTTTCTCTATCGCTGGAAAATCTAATGATTTGTTTTTCCCATACAACCTCCTCAAAATTTCCCATTTTCCCATTTTCCCATTTCATCTGCATCATTTTTTCTCAGTAAAAACAGAGAATTCCCAGAATTCCACAAGAATTAATTAATTAACATCTGGATTGTTTTATAACTAATTGATTATCAGTAAATGTTATAATTCGTGCAATAAATTAATAAATTCACGAATACATCGATTCATTCGATTTGAAAATTAAAAACTGAGAAATTAATAAATATTACAATTATTGATAGAAGTCTTATAAAATTTTCATTTCGCTTTTCCATATTTAATGAAAAAATGCATGCAATTTATGGAAAATTGCAGTAACTAATTGTTTATCGAGACTAATATTTTTGATTATCAGAATTATTACTCTCGGGATGAGAATCTTTCTATTTCTTTATTGACAAAGAAACAAAAAATATTAAAATAAAATCAACTCCCGAATTTTCCCTTCCGCATTCTTATCAATCTCCTCCTTCTCGCATTTATCACTAACATTTCACCGTCTCCTCATGATTACTGTTTTTCTATTGCGTATTTTCACTCTGAAGGTATAACCACATACTCATGCACAACTTTTCGATATTTACACCGCTGACGTAACAGTACGATTATCCCAAATTAATTTCAGTATCGAGAAAGTACAAGGAATGAAGAAATGAGAGGGAAGATATAGATAACCGAGGGCTTGTGAATTTTCTGAATGAAAGGCACTGTATTGTGAAGAAACTATTTTTTTTGTTCATTCCCCTAGGGTGCAGTCATTAAAATGTCAGGAGGAACTCGAGTCTTTATTTATCTGTCTCTTCACCCTTTGAAAATGGGTCAATTCGACTTTATTGCTGTTCGCAGAAGTTAATTCACCTGAATCGATACTATTTTTATCGTATTGAGGCAGAAGCCAGTGCGGAAATTGTCCATTATTTAATTTCAGTAACGAAATGATGAAACCAGATAAATATTTTCTTTTTTTTGATTTTCGCTCGATTTCTCGAAATCCGAGGGATGTAGCGTCATTTTCCGTAGGACCTTTTTTGTGGTCCTCGTTCTGCTCTACAAAAAAGGCTCCTATCAAAATTTGGCTATCTCTCGCGGATTCACGGGTATTCGCCAAAAACCGACTGATACTCAAAACAACTGTGCGACAGAACAAAATATTTAGAAATCGATATCTCGGGATCAAACGATACGATTTTGATGAATTAAGAATCGTTTCAAAACTTGAAGAAAGCTCTTGACGCTGAGATAGAATTCGGGGAATTCCACTCTCGGGTTCTCGAGTTATTGAATATTGTTTCACCACTTCACTACTGAATTCACGGGAAAAAACAATACTACTGATTGAAACTCATATTATTATTGAAAAAATCGTACGTGGGTAGACAATTGAAATAGAAAAGTCGATTCACACTAAATATCTCCGTAATTATTATTTTCTCTATACATTTTTGGGTCGTTGTTATCTCCAACGATAAAAAACCCCACCCATTTACATAAACGCGAGTTGAAGACTTAAAACTACGAAATAAATCAATATCCTATAATCGTACAAAGTATAAGTAACAATGGTATAAGTAATGATATATCCAAACTGTATTTATATTTTTACATGTTTCCATTAGCAATTCGTTTTTTTCTTCAGCATCTGATAAAACTCCACAGGAGAAAATTAATAAAGCCCCAGACAATCGTCACGAAAAAAAAAAAAACCCCTCCAATAGTCAGGAAAATGATCTAGTCAGTGGCCTTCAGAGAAAAGAAAAATAATCATTCTTGTCCTTAAACCTAATCCATACGTAATGATGAAAATAATAAAATAATTACACCGGAGTGATCTGATCTCCCACAAATGAAGAAAAATTCCCTTAAAACTAAATCTAATTCTAGATGATACCAGTATCTATAGCTAAATAAACAATTCTATAAATCATATTCATTTTTCGTAATAATCGTACATGTAATGTGATTTCAGGCAAAATCCAGGTGATTACAAACAGCGAATTATTATTTTGAAGACAGAATTTCATTCGAAGATGAAGGGACACAGCCAGTGGTGGTGGGAAAACATTCCACCTCAATTTAATCGACGAAGGGAATGATTTTTTTTAAATCATGTTCCTGTTTTAGATAATTAACGTCATGCTGTCCAGTAATGATAATAATGAACACAGAAATTAAACCACGGCACGCAATATTAAAATTCTCTGTCCGCTCAACCATGATTTATCATTAAATTCGCCAATCAGTATTTCCGTCTGAATTAATAAATATTTTTGCACTGGGGAAAATTCCGAATGAAAAAAGTAAAATGCAACAAGTCGACACTTCGACCACTCGAGTTTTTGAGAAATATCTCCACATCGATCGGAGATATCGAAATTTTCCATGGAACCTTTTTTGTAGAGAAAAATCAGACCTACAGAAAAGTCTCCCACAAAAATGGCGCTATCTCCCTCGGATCCCGAGATATCCCGCGAAAACTCACCGGTTACTCTTTACCCTTCGCGCCTGAATCCTAAAAATCTCAGAAAAATTGAAAAACAATTTCCGATCCTCGCAGACATCTCTTCGGCGTTAATCACGGAATTTCCAAGTCCCCAGTTCAAAAACATCCCCCGGAAAAATTCATAAAACAATAAAATATCGACCGGATAAATCCCCGACTTGCGCATCGATTAATTTGATTCGAGAAAGAAAAAAAAAAAAAACAAACGGAGCGGACCAGCCTGCGACGTGTCTCGTTGTCTATTCGATGAAGGCGATAAGAGAAAGAAAAAATATATATATAACAGTCTAAATCAACGGACACGCTGTGTTTTTTTTGAGCTATCTATAATTGCATATATTCATCCATTAATTTAAAAAGCCAACAAATTGTTAATTAATATCACTTATCGTAGGTATTTCTGCATATATAATACGCCTCATTATTAATTACTCGTAATGTACAAAACTAATCGTATGGTACCTTCCAATATATTGATTACTCGATTTATTATCCAATTGTAATGTGCTTATCCCTAATTAACTCGTGTGAAGCCTTTATGAGGCGATAGACTCCACTCATCATCGTTTTACGAATTTTCATCGTCTCAATTCTGATAAAAAAAGTCATAATTCCGAGGGGGACATGATCTCTGGAGTTTCTTGTTCATTTATTTTCCCATGAAAATTGAGGATTTTCTGTGGCTCATTGTGTGACTAGGCTGTCATTGGCTGGTGCGTTCCTGAATTATTTATTCACCTCTCATCTCACTGAAATGGTCTCCGTCTAATATTAATTACAATTACCTCAACACATTTTCCGTCATTTCAACGTTTTTTGCACTGCTCTATTAATTCCGCGTCATTCATAGTTCTAGTTTTCATTTTTCAAATGATAAAACTGTTCTATTAATCGAATTTCCCCGGGAATATCCGGAGAATTTTTTTAATTAATGGGAAATCAATCCCCAGCCAATAACTCTCACACCTACAGCTCGCGAAACTCCAGAATTTCTTGTCCTGAACTCGAAAGATTCCACACACGATTGAATAATTTCGGCAGTTTCATTCTTCACGAAAAATGCAGGCAATTATGCATTTATGGCATGACATGGAAGACATCAAAAATAAGAAAAAAAAAAGGAAAAAAAAAAGACATCCCTGTTACTCTCAATGGATTAAATTTCCAGTTAATGATTCTCGTTTTTCAGTCCCAAAGAAATTGATGAATTAATCATTGAAAATTTCGTGTTAAAACTGTAAAAATACGTCTGCCATAAGTCATTAGTGGCGAATAAAACGATTGGTAATATTCAATAAGTGGAAAAATTTGTGCAACAAATCCAGGCCCCTCCCCATTCCGACGAACACGTGATTGAGCATTCAACTTAATCGACATTTCAGCTGATTCCAAGCATAAGTGGCATCAGTTAAAAATATATACGCAATATATACGCAATATATATTTATATATTTATCTGTGGTGATTGGTTGCAGTCAAAGAGCACCCTTCCAGTTTCATTTCTGAATGTCTTTGCTGGTGGTGGCTTTGGATACCTCCTGGGGTTTCGTGAAAGATCCTGAATTGTGTCTGCTCCTGGGCTGCTGCTTGCTGAGATCACGACTGCTAGAGTTGGCCGAGTCATTTCGACGTTTTGAATTATGACCGAGCCTTCCCGAGCCAAATGACCCAGTGCGATTGCGATACTGGGTCAGATTAACTGATGATTGTTTCTGGAGGGTTGCAGCTGCTCCTGAAGTGGTTAATGTCACTGTAGATGATCCTCCAGAGAGACGACGTACTCTGCTAGTAGGTGAGGCCTCACCTCCACTCTCAGAGACACTACGATTTCTTCTTTTGTTGCCGAGAGGGCGGAGGGAACCGAAACCCTGAAGCATCTCATTTATCTGAGGCTGGAACACCAACAGGAATTATTATGTCAAGGATTACTTCAATCTGATTAATTTGATAATAAAAAAATTAGGTAATTATTTATTTATTATTCATTTATGGAATTGTCTGATCCCCAGAGTGAATTTCTCATGGTGTTACTGATTAATTACATTCACTGATATTTCAAAAGATAAATTTACCTCGACAACTCTGAAGTCTTCGATATTTTTGAATTTCGAGAGGTATTCTTCCAGTTTTGGCTCGACGTGGAGTTTATCTGCGTGTTTGTAGTACTTCAGGAAGGCCCAGAATTTCTCCAATCCATACAATTGACCTGAAATCAAAATAATAATCTAATGCACGTCTTATCAAATAGGACAAATGCTTAACGATGTCATTATTATATTATCCTGTGGTCTACTTTCAAACTCCACTAATGGGTCATCGACCTAGTGGTGTCAGCGAATCCACAGATTTACTCTAGCACAATTTATTTCAGCATGAGAATTCCTTTCTCCTGCTGGATAATATTTTCTTGTGCATGAAATAGAAATTAAAGTTGAGAAAACAGATCAATCCGTCCTATCCCAGTAAGGACTTTCATTTTAGAAAGAATTTTTTCTGCAGATCGTAATTATTTCGGTGTAATTTACCATTTTCATAATCGACGATCGTCTCGTACTGGAAGTCTTTATATAGCTGCGGTCGGAATTTCCTCTCAAGACCATAACTGTAGAACCGGAAGAGGCACTCAAGGCCATACCGATATCCCTCGACAGCATCCTCCTTGGCGACTGTCCTGAACTCCTCGTACATCGTACGATTAAAATTCTCTCTCAGGAAGAACGACCAGAATCTGAACAAAGTGTTCATCTCCTGGGACTGTCCAATGCCCAATCTCTTTCGTTCTGCAAATAATGCAATTGATTAAAGATCCATTTGATTTCCCCAGGAAGCAATTCTCCATTAATATCAAACTTCAGATCTGATTTTCTCAACAGATAAATTCAGTCGGGAAAAGAAGACAATAAATTATTGGAATCATCATTCAATATCAATCAATCATTCATAAATTGATTTAAAAAAATTTCAAGGGCATTTTTGGGACTGATTACTCACCTTTGAGACACCTGGAGTGGTACTTGTGATAGACTTGCTGTGTGAAACCATTTTCCTTCAGCAAAGCATGACTGGGATGTTGAAAAGTGGGTAAAGACGAGGGTTGACTGCCATAGCTGCCAGCAAGATATCCCTCATTGGGACTAGTCCCAGCACTACTCCCAGTGGAATAAGTCCTGGGCCTGTGCTCCCTGACATCCATAATCCACCCCACATGATGCTCAACAGGTGGATTATTGCTGTGTCTCGTTTTGCGTTTTCTAGGTGTTCTTGGATCAACAGCTGGCTCATCCTTGACAACAGCAAAGAATCTGGGAACAGCACCACCTCTTCTTCTGCACGGTCCACGTCTATCACTCCTCTTATCACCCTTGCGTTCTCTCTTATCGGTGGATTGAACTGGAAGTGACGAGGATATATCCATGTCCTCTGATGATGGTGGAGGTGGTGGCACCTCTGGATTTGCCCTTCTGGGGGCTTTCGGCGCCATTTTTTCGAAGGCAGCCTGACTTATGATATTCACTGTCTTGTAACTTCCTATTGATGAGGACGAGCCGTATCTCTGGCCATCCTCTGTCCAGAGATCTTCCTCGTAGTAAAAGAGACCGTCGTTTATCGCTTGCTCCAGGTCTTGGGTCATCTTTACCCGCGTTGTCCAGTCACCTGTGCGATCGTGCCCCTCGTGTTTTGGAATTCGGGAGGGAACTGTCTGGGTATTTGGAGCTATTTGCGTTACAATCAACAATTTGTTTATGTCACCATCGGATAACTCGTAGTCGTCGTCGTCCTCGGACCTGGGGACAGAGTAAAATTTTTTAGAGGGACTTTTACACGACGGGGGAAGGAAGTAGCAGGAATTTTGGTCAGATTCTTAAGTCTCAGCAGGACTTTATCAGTCGGGAAAAGAAGACAATTATTGGGAAATCATCATGTGTGGACAGAAAGTTTTTCATTACAATTGAAATTATTAAGATAGAGAGTTTTGACGATTTTTGGATATTGAAATGCTTTTAGAAATTCTCTTGGAAAATCGTGAACTAGAATAAGTAAATTTTTTCGCGGCCAGTTTTTAGCCAATATCTCGAAATTGAAAAAAGATGAGTAAATTTTCATAGATAACTTTTTTGTAGCTTTCATTTTTTTCTATGAAAAATGCTTCTACGAAAAATTCGCTATGTCCCTTCAATTTATTAGAGATATTGGCTAAGAACTGGCGTCGAAGAAAATACTCTTATCACCACTTCGTTACTGAATTTTGTATTTTTTTTTAAATGACAACTCACCATTCGGAAAAAGCATTGTGTCGTCCAGTGGGTGGTGGTGTATCAAGCTCCTCATCAAACTGAAAGTCCAACTCCTCTCGTTCCTCCTCCTTATGCTGATCACTCTTAAAATTGGCCTCAGGCTTGTCCCTGGGTGGTTGTTTAACTCTTCTCTTCACTTCCTTCCACACGTCATTGGCCGGTGTCTCAACTTCTCCATTGATTGGCACCCTGGGACTCTTGGATGAAATCGAAACCGAAGCCGAACCCAAAGACGTGGACGACGAACTCTTGCTCTGGGATTTAGCCTCCATCTGCTTCACTCTGACAGACCCCAGACTCTCACTGCGATTGTGCGATGATTCAGAGGATTTCTTAATATTATTGTTTGATGTCTGTTGGTCCCTCGTGGGATCAGAATTTGTTGCAACATTAACGGGAATAAATTCGGGTACATCGGGATTGAGGGTCTCACCTGTGGACGAGGATACACTTTCACATTCACTGAGTCTGGACGGGACTATGACGGACTGGAGGACACGAGGTTGTGGTGGTGTTGGAATTGTGCTCAGGGGAGTGGCTGCTGGACAAAAATGGGATTTCTCGGGGGGTGGAATTTCAAGACGGGGAAGAGGTACTTTGGAAATCTCGGAGTCTGGGTAAGAAGGATTTGTCGCTTCAACTGCTATCGGCCACATCAGTGGATCCAGGACTGTCCTCACCTGAAATTCCATAATTAGCCATTCATCTTCTGAATTATAATCTGAATGAATTCAATTAATTTAATAGAGCAATCCTTAACATCTTTGGAGGTATCTCAGCTATTTCGGATCATTAGACTATTTACCCGTTTGAATTATTACGTAAACTAGTTTTAATTTAATTTTAATAAAAGAAAACTAGTTTCAAAGTCTACAGTCCAATCGTTGATAGGAGGGAACATCTTGCAACGTGTGCACACGATAAATCACGGGAATTTACCTTGAAAAGGTCGACCATCTCCAATTTGTCTGACTCGAGAATGGATTCGATTACGAGGGCGACATCAGTTGTGAGGGCTTGGACACGGTGGAATGAGGCTATAAGTGTTATAGGGAGAAAACCCTCGGCATCCATTTTACGACGCATGAAAAAGTCTCTCAGCAAATTCTCCTCGCTGAAGTAGTACTCTATCTGCTTTCTTATGTACTCTTTCAGTGTCGTTGTGTCGAGATTTACGTAGCTCGTTGTGTTGAAGAAGAATGTACCCATGTAGGGCATCATGTACGATGGGTCAGCATTATTGAATTGTTTCATCTGGGGGAGAAAAATTTTTCAGTCTCTCGTGCCCTAAATTTCATTTTACTCATCATGCCATTTTTATTATCGTCAGATTTTTTTCGTTTTTTTACTTCAACGATTCTCAGAGAGATTCCCTACTTATAGTCATCATTATTTTTATTTCATTATCATTTATATTAAATAATAATATCGGAAATTGTGAATTGATAATGGAAACGATAAATATCAATTCACAGTGAAAATTAATTTATTTAGTCTCAATCAATTGAATTCGATCTGATTGAGGTGTCAGTTATTTTTTAATTATGATTGTTTATTGTGAATTTATTATTTTAATTGTAATAGTGGATTGTTGGGGAAATGAAGTGTTGAATTTCGGTGGGAATTTTACCTGTGAAAAATCACCGGCATATTCCCCAGAATAATCGACTTCGGGTCTCTGTCTGTATCCCCCAGGTCTCGATGGACCACGACCCCTGCCACCTCGTCCCCTGTAGCTTCTACCCCCTCGTCCACTCTTGAAGCCATATGCAGGCCTCTCATGTTCCCGTTCTCTCCAGGTCTCCTCACCTGTAAAAAACACAATTTACATTAATAATACTCCTCAACCCCATCCACAAGAATATTTTTACTTTCATATTTCAGTTCTACTTTCGTTAATCCTCACTGATTTTCAGAGAGATTCCTCACTTTTTGTCATCATTTTATACAGATAAATCCTCATTTTATTTCCATTTGATTAATTAATCCATTAATATATCATTCAAGCTAATCAATGGTGAGATTTTATGTTAGATTTAAAAAATTGATTAAATATTGATTTTTATTAATTTCATTTTCAGTTGATTAATTAATTAATCGATTTGCAATTTAACAAAATAATTATGAAATCTAGTTTTGGTTTCAGAAAAGTTATTAAATATTGTTGCTAGTCATCAGTTAATGCAGATGAGTCCCGAATTTATTATTAATTAATCAATTAATTGATTTCCAATTCAAACAAATCAATCGTGATATTTTTATTTGAGTTTAAAAACATTATGAGATATTGTTTCTCCCTCAAATGCTCTGACTAGTCGTTTTCTCTTACCAGTATTTGAATATGAAAGATTTATAAAAAAAAATCGACTAAACCTGATTGACCACTTGGTCAGAAAATTGTTAAGAATTTTTTTTATTGCAAATACTCACTCTCACTACATCGTTCTCTGTGATTTTGATGCTTGGGGGAACGCTCTCGTTTCCCCCTGCTTTTCGCAATGTCTATTTCCAATGGCACCCATTTTTGTTTATTTACTACAAAACAGAATATTAATAACGCACAGGTTAAAACACCACTCACTAAACTATAAAAATTAGTGAATAACACTGAATAATTATGGGATTATTCAAATTTTGTTAGAACAAAACAAAATTCAATCTTCAATAAAAAATAATATAACAAATTGAACTGAATATTTAAAGATTTAGATCAATGAGATCATGAATTGCTCTTCATTTTAATCTTTTTCTTAATTTTAAATCTTTCAAAGATTTTTTATTCAAGTGGAACATAATTAATGTAATTATTTCCGCTCGGAGATGAAAGCAATGCAAATGCATAATTTGTTTGATAAATCCAAATGCTCACTCTTCTTTTTTTTGTCATTGGTATCCGTGTGCTCATCACTGTCATCCTGACAGTGATTCAGCTCTTTATTTTCTTTCCCCTTGCTCTCCACACTGATGGCACTGCCTTCCTTGGAGTTGCTCGACTCCTCAATGCCGTTTTGTTTAACCGTCGGTATCGCCGTTTTGTTCTAAATAAAAAGATAAATAAATAAAATAACCAACTGGTAAACAACGACAAGTACATTTTTTTCGAGACGAGTTTTTCCACCGTTATCTCGAAATCCAAGAAGTCTAGCGATTTTTTTGCAGAAACATTTTTTATGTAAAAATCTGAGAGCTACAAAAAAGGTATTCATGAAAATATCGCTATCTCCCTTCAATTCCGAGATATCGGCTGGATATACTAGATATACTGGCCTAGAATAAAATTCACTTATCGTAGTTTACCGCTTCAGAAAATAAATAACACTCGAGCGTAAGAAATAATTAAATACCGAGGGAAAGTGTCTCAACGCAATTTGTTCAATTTATCCAAACGACAAGTTGACAAGATATTTAGCGTACGATGTTGATTTAGCAAAAAATTCTACACCCACAGGTGGATAATACGACACTGCGGGTTCTAGCTTTTGCGGTATTTCATTGCATGCATGAGGTAATTGTCCGACAACTGCATGAAAATTATAGTCGAGATGATGTGTGAGAAATGTGATAAAATGTACCTCGCCTTGAGCTCCCAGAGACGGCCAGTCTCCAATATCTGTGAAGTCACTTGCCTGAAAGATATTATTGCATTTTTCATTTCAATGTCTGACCTGTGACGCTAAAAATCACGAATTTTTCTACTGACCGTTGAAATAAATTAAACTAACAAATGATCGTTAAACTAACAAATGATATATAATTTATTAGCACAAATATCTGTGCTTTTAGAAATGATGTAATGAAAGGAAAATTTTTCCGTCGATTCTTTTTTTATCAATTTATGACATAAAAATCGCTCTAAATTTTATTTAATAATATTACCGAGGGAGTGGATGTTTTTTAATTGTCTTCAATAATTTTTTAGGCATTATTCAGCGCTCATTACCTTTTGATTATATTTTCTTCTGTCTTTTGGCGCCTTTACGATCGTCGGCTGAACACCAGTGGTTGGACCGTTTTCTGGAATCATAAAAATTGATGAATCATGAAATTTCAGTAAAACAACAAAAATATAATAAATTAAGCTGTGAAATAATTAACGTTTTCATTTTTCGAGAGAAGAAACGAGTGAAATTCGGGATTTAACAGAGAATTTAATGGATATTTTTGGAAATTTGAATCATTTTGAAAAGAAAAATAGAATTGCGAATTCAATTGAGGGCTAGGAATTTTCTTTTTGCGATTTTGAATAAAGAGACGTAATTATAATCATGATAACAGTTTTAATAGCTGTATAACAAATATTATGGAAGAAGTATTAAGGAACTAACGTATTAGATTTATTACAAAATTTAAATGACGAGGATGTAACCATTAATAATTCCTATCATGCCGTTATTTTTCTTATCTTTAAAGAAAAATAATGAAAACCCCAAGGCAAATCGTAAAACGTATTTTTGATATTGTCCAGCTGGAGAGGCCATCGAAAATCTAATCGTCGGCCTTGAAAAAAACGTTATGCACCGTAAAAAAACAATGACTATTGACACGTAAATTTATTGACACTAAAATAATCTACACATTTCAAGCGATGAGTTATTGTAACAATCCATAAACCAGAATCGAGTTCAGTCTCAATAAAATGACGTTTCTGCGTTTCTAGTAGTTTTTAAAATAAAAATATACTTATAAAAAAAATAATGAATGTTAAAAATCGTGTAACTGATAGGGCCAATTTTTATTATTTTTTTTTCTGAAGAGATTGAATTGCCAAACCGCGAGTTTCGTTTTTCAAATCGACAAGTTGATTTTCAACTTTCATTACTTCATCCGATTAAATTCCAATTTGCAATATCTGACCTTCGGATAAATTAATTTCACAGGTGTTTTGGCTTGAGGAAGAGTTTTAAGAGTTTCAATTAGCAATTGGCTGCAGCTGTAAAACATTTTGTAGTGACAAGTTGAATTTTTTTGCATTGAAAAGAAAAATTACGCAATAAAAGAATTTCTTGTTAAATTATACGGTAATTAAATCAACAATTAGACCTGCGAAATTGGAAATGAAAAAGGATTCATGTAGACAGAGAATATAATTTTTTTTATATTTATTTATCATGAATGATTAATTTTATGACAAAGTGATAAATGGAAACGCAATATTTCCGTTAAATATCGATTCTTCTCGAAAACTATCGATTTCAGAAAGAAACGCCGGGGGACTTTTTTGTAGCCGATTGAATTTCCCACAAAATAGGTCTCTTGATATTTCCTCCTGAAATCGATAATCTTCGAGATAAATCGATAATTAAGGGGAATATAAAATAGAAATTTATCATTTTTCATGGAAATGCAGAGAAAAATTATTAACAAAAATTACCAATAGCCTCAATTAATTCTGAATTGAAGCAACATAATGTGGAGTTGATTCATTCCCTCGGGATAACAAATCTTTTTAATCAGTTCTTAGAATTTTCAAAATGATTCAACATTTTTGACGCGAACAATCACTTTTTGTTTGATTTTATCATCCACTACAAAAACATTACAAACGAAAAAAAAAATGGTTTCGTGCTTTTTCTCGCGTGGCATCAAACCAACATTACGTAATTTACATAACAGCCGATACCTAGTGCTCGATTCACGATGGAGTGAAATATTCTGAACGTAATATCAGTCTCGACAAAGCGCCAGAATCCCCAGATTATTTTAATTAATCAATTTCCAATAAATTTACAAGACAATTCAGCAATAGAAAATCCTTCTCACCGAATCCAAAAAATCGCGAACGTTCAAGAATATTTATGAGTATCAAATATTTTTCTGTCTTATTCCGCAAAAAAGTTTAGATGATTGCAAAAAAAAAGAAACTGAAAAATTTTTCGTCTCCAAATGCTAGAACTTGCACTTCTATCAGATTCCGCTCGCGAGTTAATTAATTCACACGGTTTTAAAACCGATTAATTACCGGATAATCGATTGATTGAGGAATTAAGTCGCGAATTAGTTGTGCGAATCGATCGTACGATTTTACTGTTATTTTTGCGTGAAGGGGACACGCCTTTTCCACCCTCTGCCCCTCGAACAGATGACGACAATTTTATTTTAACCTTTACTCTGGATCCACTGCCAAGAGTCTATCTCGTCTCATTTGAATGCTCTCTCATTTTTTTTCTCTTAAACGTAAAGTGAGTAAAAATTCCGGGGGTCGCATCTTTAATTAGTCAAGTCAGACAAAATATAATTGTTTCAACACTAACAAACAAATACAATAAATAAAAATATCCTCATCCGTTTTAACTCACGTTTCACTCCGCAAATCTCGTGCCCATTAATTATCATTTTTTCCACTGCTATATTCCCACTGATAAACAATTCAATTTGTTCATAAATAATTATAAACAATCTAGTATTCACTCAACACCGAAATAGATTTGTGTAAAAATTCCCAAAACATTTCCACCACCACAAGATCACTGAATTTTCAGAAATGTTATTTAAATAATTTAATGTTAATTGAAATAAAATTTTGTATTTGAGGAATCGCAGATTGTGGAAGAGTTTGGATTAATTAGAATCGTTTTTTATTAATCAAATGGGTGGAAATAGTGGGAATATATACAGAATAAATTATAAAAAAGGATAATAATTTTTAAAACAAGAAAAATACATTGCAAAATTCCACTTAACGGATACGAGATATCGCGTTGGACGAATGAATTCGAAATGAACGAATGCCGAATCTAGAAGGCAAACCTGAAAAGAAGGGAGTGGAGGTATGCAGTAGCTGTCTACTGCTTCGTAAACTATTAATTATTTAATTAATAATTAGACTAATTGCTCACGAGCATTTTGAATCTCGCAGGTACACAATGTGGAAATATCGGAAATATCGGAATGAATTTCCGTCGGTCAGAGAAAAAAATAATGGATTAATTCACATCCGCTAAATTTATTGTGCAATTAATTCCCTTGGAAAATAGAAGACAGAATGTGTCCAGTTGCGGGAAATTCCGTGTAATTTTCCGCGGAACTGTGCACTTTTTGGTATGCGGGAGGAAAATTGCGGGAGGTGATCATTATGTCACTGACGGGATGAAAATAGCAGATGAGGACACGCGTCGCGACGCTCAGACGTCGGGGCAAATTGTTTCTCTAATTTTAATAAAATCAGAAAAATTGTTACACACGATTTTAGAAATCGATTAATCGGAGAACCAGAATAATTGATATTATTTCAATTCCAATAATGATCCTTTTAATTTCTCAACGAAAGGATTCAACGGATTATTTAATATATGAATCATCAATTTTTTATAATTTTGAGAGGAAAACTGTAATTATTTGAATTTTAATAATGATGCATTCAATTTTCAGCGAAAGGATTTTGCAACCTATTCAATATATTTCTAATAAATAAATACTCATACATAATCCTCAAAATGTTTATAAAAATATATGATATATAATATATTAATAATTTTTAAAGGAAAATATGAACGAAATAAAGAATTAATTTATTACTCAATTCAACAAATTCTTCCTCTAATTATTATAAAATAAAAAAAAATATAAAAAGATCATTTGCGGAATCAATTAATCCCCTGGGATAATTTCAATTAATGAAATTGTAATTGAGAGTTGTTGCCTTCGAAAAGAATTATAATAATTTTGTAAAATGAATGCGTGTGGATGTGAAAATTATGTGGGAATGAGGAGAAATGATGATTTTGTTTGCATTTTAAATTTATCTTATCGAAAAATGAATCCAGATTTTTATGCATTGAACGTACTGCTGTAGTTGAAGGTTTTAATCTGCTCTTATCGCAATGAAATTGAGTAATTCTACAGTGGCGAGGAGCCACTGGTGTAAAATCGTCTACAATCGGCTTCCACGTATGTGAATTACCATAAATTTGGTGCCACGTGGTATTTGGACCATTAGGTAACGTGTAACTGAAGACTAATCACCAGTAATTATTTTCAATTACGTCAATTTGATAGATCAATAGAACGATTAAAATGTTTCTACACTCGAACGATTTTTGTTTTTCTCATTTTCGTTGGATTGTGTCTATAGAATTTTTAGAGATTTCGAAACTGTTGTAAAATTTATTAAAAAATTAATCAATTGAATTTTAATTGCACGAAAATTGGAAATGAATAAAAAATCGCGTGGATTTATTCTTGATTTTCAAGTGATTATTCTAAGAGAAAAATTGAATTTAAATCAGAATTGAATTTCGAACATTGAGGTTCATTGAATTCTGAAGGAAATTGGGAATTTACTACTTTTTCCATGGGTTTGTTTAAATTTTTTCAAACGCATCATAAAATTTGATTAACAAATCTCTGATCCCTGAATATCCTCGAATAAAAACGTGTGAATATCTCCGAATCTAAGAGAGATACAAAAATTTTTCTGGAACCTTTTTTCAAGCTCTCATATCCCTCTTTAAAAAAGGTTCTACGGAAAATTTCGCTATCTCTCTTTAATTTGAAGATATTCCCTGAATTCCCCAAAATAGAAAACTCCGAAAAAAAATTCAAACATAAAACACTTCCGATGTCGATCCGGAAGTCAAGGGCCGATGAGAAAATCGTGGGAAATTATCGGAATATTTATTAGCAACGGAGTATAGAGGAGAGGGGATTGTCTGGAGGATAACGAGAATAAAATGATAAAAATAAGTAGAAAAAGGAAAAGATCCACGTAATAAGAGTACACGAGGCGTCTGTTGGCGACACCATGAGACCAATAACAGAACTAAAATCGTCACACGGTGAAACGAGATCGGGCCCTTTCTCAGATACATTTCCCTACGTTCATCATCGCAACTCCAATCCACGACACATAAAACGCCCATCCACCGCCAATCACTCGAAATCACAAATCGACTTGTGAAACTGAATAAATCATCCCGATTCAATATTTATCACGAATTGCCATCGGCATGTCAAAATTCACCTTTCACCAATCAATTCTCAATATATTAAAGAACATTTCGACCTCCAGTCGAAAGAAATGAAAAAGGAATGCCAAAAAAAAAAATCTCGCGAACTTAAGATTTTGAGGCAGTGTTAAATGTCGATGGATCTCGGAACGCATTGGTTTTCTGAAAAAATAGGAAGAGAGGTTTTTTGTTCGGAATTTAATCAGCTACAAAAAAGTCATCTGAGGTTTTTACGGTAAATCGGTAGTTTCGGAGATAAATCCGTGGTTTGAAATTGAAAAATTATGATTTTGTTTAATCTACGGATTTTGTTGTTTAAACATTAAAAATAATTAAAGTTTTCCTTCTTCCTTTGGGAATTTGAACTGTTATTAAGTTTTTAATCAATTTAGAATAAAAAATGAAGAACCAGTAATTTTTTGCGTTAATTATTTCAAAATGCTATCAATTCCGATTAATTAATTCACTCTGTTATTAACAATCATGACTAAACAAATGATTTCTCAACAATAATTGAAGGATTATAACTTCCTCTTGGTGACACTCGACTCCCGCAAAGTCTCGAGAAACTACTCGAGAATTCCTTAACGAAGAAATAAAATTCCAATTCCAATAAAAAAGAGGCTAACAAAATCGTCAACTCAACTTCGTCATTTTTCGAAAATATTATCTTAACAAATGGCGAAAAAATTTCGTTATCAATGTTTTCCACCCTATTAAACGAGTCTAAATAATAATTTATCAATTTATTTTGAAAACCCATCTAAAAATGAGACACGACCTGCCGATGGCAAAACCACATTCATTAAAATATTTCTTCAATGAAATTTTGACTAAATTCTCGAAAACTCACCAGAACTCGGCTTTCCCTGCTGTAGCTGTGTCTGAAGCTGTGGCTGCAGCACTCGTTTCTCCTTCTCAGCATTTCTATCCCCCAGATTAACAGGAGCCGGTGGAGGTGCCCCCTGACTCCTGATCCAGGGATTGACAACAGGTAGAGGTGCCTCAACATATTTAACAGGAGGTACCTCCTCCTCCTCCTCAACCTCCTCCTTCACATGATTCTCCCCAGAGTGTCGATCCCTATGAGCTGCCCTCTCCTTGCTGTGATTCACCCTCTCATCACTCTTTCCCCGGTGATGTCTGTCATGATGTCTGATCCTCTCCCTGTGACTCCTGTGCTCTCTACCCTTCTCCTGTAATTTTTCCTTCCTCCTGGCAGACTTCGGTGCAACAGTCTGAAATTCCCCATCACTCGCCACATCCCCATTGAGTCTCTCCTGCTCCTGCCCCCTAGACAAATCCCTCTCCTTATCACCAGGTGAATTACCCCTCGTTCTCCTCTCGCTCTTCGTTGAAAATGAATTAAATCTCCGTGAATTTTTCTGATAGGACTTCCCTCTGGCACTCTCCTTTCTCTCTCGGGTTATCGGTGGTGTAACACTCACCTGTCCAATATTCTCCTTATTATTGTCCTTTATTGTCCTCTGCTGGGTGTCACCAGCACTTTTTGGATTTACAACACTGGCATAAGACACACCAGGGCACTCCTGGGCATCGCTACCTCCCTGATTTCCCACTTTAGCCGCCATATTGACCAGAAAATGTGAAATGCACACGAGGTTACCAGAATATAAAGTTGGGTTATGCTCGTCGGCTTGTGCAACACTTTTTTTTTCTCTTTCTCTTTCAAAATTCAATCAATGGGCTAATTAAAATCTAATGCTCGAACACTCACGAACACGTGGGCCCCGAGCCCTCCACGATGATCATCAGTTCTTCCTCCAGAGGATTATATTACCAATTTTATTAACTCCACATTTTTCTCTTTATTTATTTATTTATTTTTTTTCGTCAGTGAAGCCTGACTCTTCTCGAGGGCATCCTGTCCAATTATTTCACTGCCACTTCTCCACGCAACTGTCACCTGGTGATTTATGATTTATGATTTATCGGTTATTGTAATTTTTTTTTCCTTTGGGGGGACTGAGGGGTCTTAGCAACGGAAAGAAAATAATGGAAAAAAAAAAATAAAAGTAATCGACCGATGTGCGACTCCTCGTGGTGGCAACCGAGGACTGGGAGCAATGGCTCCACGAGGGGAACCGCGTGCGCACTAAATAAATATCCACCCCCTCTTTTTTTTTTTCTCTCTTTTTCGGAAATTAATTCGCAATTTTTATGGGATAGGGTTAATCGAGGGGTGGGTATTTTTCCTGTTCAATTGATATGGCGAGGAGTTATTGAGGGTTTTCACGACTTGGGGGAGGACTCTGGGGCACGAGAGCCAAATGCTGACTCGGCGTTTTTCAGATCTATTTATTCGACATTTTTTTTGTCTTCTTTTTAATGTACCATTGACTGACTCACCGGTCGATGGGTTTTCCTCGTTTTTATCGTCTCAGGATTTGTTTGACTTTTTTTTTTTGTCCACTGGAGGTATGATGGAGGTGAGCACGAGGCACGTTTTCGTTTTCTCCTCTGGGGATAGTTATCTTTTTTTATCGTCTACACGTTTTTCAATTTGAAAATTGGAGATCGTTCTGGTGGCACTACGGGGATGAAGTTTATGGGGCACTTGTCACTGGGATGTAAATCAGAAACATCGCGGGATGGAATCAGTTATTTTATTTTTGGAGGATTCAATAGCGCAGACACATGTGGCCAAAATGCTGATCCTCCGCCGACTCGCCGGGTTTCCGGTCTACCGGATGTACATCGTGCGCATGCGCGCAGTTGTTCCATTAGTGGATGCACAGAGGGCGCAACTTCCGGTCGACGAGCGGGAAAATTCAATTTTTTTTACCTGTCCATTTTATTTCTACAGATGTTTATTATTATTTATTATTTTTATTGTTATTGTAATTATTATATCAATAATTATTGTTATTGTTTAGAGTTTTCATTCTTGTTTTCATCCAGATATTTTTCCGAATAGAATAAATAATGCAATCATCAACCTCAAACGTTTAATTAATCAATATGAATTAACTATTCATAATTAATTAATTAATTCAATCAATTAATTGCGAGTAATTGAAGATATTGGTTAGTCATTAATCATTTTGTTCCATTCTTTTTTTTTTAACTTCATTTTTGTCTCGATGACTTTTTTTATTCTAAATTTATAACGTCGTTAAACATTAAAAAAAATTATTGTCCACGAGGCGCTTATGTTTTTTTAAATAAAAAAACATGTGCATATGACCCCGCACTCCCATGATATCAATTAATATAATTTCTCCGATAGTTAAGGCTTTAAAATTCAATATCTTGATTTTATTACTCTCCTGTACATTAATATTCATCAAAAACAATTAAAATAGTTACAAAAATTAGTCTCTTGTAGATTCTCTATAACATATTTGTACATAATTCGTGATTATTAAAATTCTGGTACTTTCTTTTAGATTTATTGTTTAGCGTGGTGTATTGATTCGTCAGGTGGTCAAAGCAGTCTCGAGAGGATTAAGCGTGAAATACTAGCCTCCCATCGCCAAGAGTTAATTCAGAGGTGATTTAAAATCATTAGATTTTATTATCAAATTAACACTATCCGGAGTGACAGGCCGACGTCAACTGCTGACTAGATATTTTTTCGTATAGCGATCGAAGGCTTCGGCTATTGTCGATCTGTAAATGCAATAATCAAATTCTTGTTAGATTATCCAGAAGATCGATGATAATTAATGATAATAATAATGACCTGAAGACTTTCTGGTGTAACAAATAAGCACTGACGTGACCAGCATCGATGTACCTGATCTCTGCTCCCGGCCAAATTTTCTCCAGACTCATGCAATTGTCACGAGGTACATAGGCATCGTCTTTAGCGCAAACAGCAATTATCAAATTAGTGTCCACTGGCACCTCAAAATTCCGGAGATGAGTGCACTCGTCCATTATGCCACGCATAAACTGGAGAGCTTCATGCTCACGTCTGCTAGGATCTTGAGAATCTTTATCCCCTGGTAGCATGCACACATCTGCAATTGTCCAAAGAAATAATATTTTCATAATTAATATAAACATTTCAATAATTAAAAAAATAATACAGAAGAATAGGTTCTGCAATTCGTTATCCAGTCGCGTTTTCCACTCAGAATATCTCCAAATCTGAGAGAACAATTATAACAAAAATAATTGTTTTCGAATTTATAAAAAAAGTCATTTTACCGAGTTGTTAGTGCGATTTTACCTTTCAATGCTTGTGGATCACTGGGTTCAAATCGACTGGAGATAAGACTCAAGGGAAACATTCTAGCTGCTGCCTTCTCAGCAGCATCCGACTGCTCTGTCACGTCGAATTTCGTACGATTCATGATATCTTTTCCATTATCATTCGACTTATCACTCTTCAATTCTCTTATTCTAGCTATACTCGCTGGAAAGTGTTGAGCAAAATGCTGTCCCGCCAGGAATGCATCCTACAAAAATAAATAAATAAATAATCACAATCTGGCATTTAAAAAATAGCTAGAAGACTTCAGACGCGAAATTATAAAACGTAATCAATCAAATTTTATTCATCAAAAGACGACGAAAAATTTAAATCCCATAAAATTCTCTAGGAATTACAGTTTATGGGAAAATGATCAGGAAGTTAATTCTGATGATTTCTGGGGATTTAATTGTTTCATCGGTTTGGGTGATTTTTAGGAGGAATTAATAATAATATAATAATTACTCACATCTTGATCGACTATTTTCACCATCTTGGCAAGATCATTCTGATACATCGCATCTGAAAAATATTGCGATTGAAGCAAAGACCAGTTTATCGACTCGGCCATGACTCCCTTAGTGAAAACAGGTGAGGCAGTTGACCAGGACAGGCAGGGAATTAATGGAATTGGTTTTGGCCAGTTGGTTGCAGCTAGCGAAGCCATCTACGTCCAAAAATAAATTTGTAATTCAGGGAAAAAAATTTGAGGGATGATTTCGGAGGAACGACGAGGATGTCCTGAGTTTCACGCGATGAACTTGTGATACTATTAAATTAATTTTATCAACTAGTGGAACCAATTCTCTAGGGGTTGGAGAAAATAATGGACTCATGGCATCCTCGGTGAAATAATAATGAGATTTTACATTAAACTCACATGTCCACCCATTGATAGGCCAGTGAGACCCATCGGTCCAAATCCCTGTTGCTCACACCAATTGAGTAATACAATGCATTCCATCATTAAACCACCGCCCATGATAAAAATATCCGAGACATTGTGCAAGCTAGACCGCCTGTCAACAAAATAACAACATTATATACTGTGTGGGGAGAAATTTAAGAGAATAATCTAGCATTTTCGATAAAGATTTCATTGCGAATTTATGGACGAGATCCACAGAAATTCTAAGGAAATCTGAAGTTAAGGGGAATTTCTCCACTGAATATCCAATAAAATTGATTTACAAAAAATAGATAATAGTTTAATGAGGAAATAAAAAATTTCTTACACTTGATTCTCAGGTTTTCTAATGCCGTAGAAAGGATTTTCCACTAGGAGTGATCCGATTCCCCACTCTTTCAGGAGAGGTTTTGCTATTAAATTTCTTCTTCTCCAAAAGTACTGCAACAATAAAATTTTTAATCATGAGTGCAGGGGAGGATTTAATCGAAAAATCCAGAGAATTTATAAGAAAAATCTATTTGATTTCGATTTTACTTTGATGTAACTTATTCGCAAGGTTTTTATAAAAAAATTAATGAATGGAAATTAAATGAATTAAATTGAGTGGATGAAAACAAACTCACATGATCGCCGGTTCCGGCTAAATGTAAACAAACGGGTTTTGTTTTGTGGGAGGACCATCTGTGGGGGAGGATCAGCTGAAAATGACAATTTTTAGTCTCTTCTGGCATGATGTTGGGCAGGTGATGCTCAAATGGAGACTCGAAACGGCCTTCAATTATGTGACAGTCCGACCACTCCTCGTCCTGAATAATTGAGATAATTTTCGGGGTCATTGGCTGCTACACTTGGTAATTGTGGAATAAAGCATTGATTTTTATTACCTTAGTTATGGTTATTGGATAATCACGAGGAATTAGATTATAACATGCTTCACGATTTGCAACGACCTTTCTAAATTCGAATATTCTGAAAGCAAATCAGTTTTTTTTTCTAAGCCAATGTCTGTGCATTTATGAATTTTTGTGCTGAAAAGAGTAGTAAAAAAAATGTGTGACGAAATTATTTTGGATTTTTTGGAGAAGTCGGGAAATATTTATTTTTATCGGGGAAATTCGGAATTCATGGGAGATAGATAGAATTTTTATTGAAGTCTAGTAGAATTCTTGAGGAATTGAAAAAGGAATTGGACTTTATTTTAAGGAGAAATCTCAGGTTTTTCGTGGATGCGAAAGTCAAATTCGTGTGCATCATTAAAAAAAAATTTTGCGACTGCAAATGTTTAAATTTGTCATTCAAATGATGAAAAAATTCTGAATCGGTTGCAACACTGAATAAGAAAATTATAAAAAATAAATTTATTTTCAATATCAAAATTCTTCCTAAAAATTTCAAATCTTGTTAGACAACTGATTCCAATATTAGAAAGAATATTGTCAACAGAATTTTCCCGGTGGGAAATTCTTCACGTTTTCGTTTGAACAGAAAAAAACTGTAAAAATCGAAGATTTTCTACAGAAAATATCTAGATAAAAAAATTATACAGACAAATGGAATTATACAGAATTTTTACAGAGAATAAAATAAAAAAACATTTCTTTCTTGGAATTCAGGAAAGATTAAAAAAAATTGAAGAAGTCTCTTGATTAATCAAAAACGTAAAATCAAGAAAACGAAAATTGATTTAGCAAAGTGATTTACTAATGATGTGTTGATGTGCAATATCGATTAAAAAATTATTTCTCCTGCTGAAAAATAATTTAATATTCTAGGTTACCTCCGAAGGCTCTCCGGGTTGCCCCAGCCCTTCGTAAAAAACTTAGTCAACAAAAGTCTTCTATAAACAGCGTCAAGTCGACTAGGCATTGCGCAACGACAATAAATAACTTCACTTAAAATTTATCTAAAAAATTTTTCACAACTGTTAAAATTTCGACCCGAACTCCAGGACTGATTCACATGTTCATCTCAAACAAATAAATCGAATACTCGTCGACTCGACTCATCGACATGGAACTGTTTATTATGTATGTGGAGGATAAAAAAAAATTAGTGGAGGGAGTTTTGACGTAGTGAAGGAATTTTGGAGCAAAATACCCCCACCTGTCCGATTGTTTATTTGTCATGCCAAGCGAAGAGAACGGCGGTTTTTTTTGAAAATGTCTTTTCCATTTTACAGTCATAATCCTCATGATCAATCAAGTGAAATCGATAAAAGACGATCGATTGATACTCGATTCTTAGAAAATCAATAAGAATTTTTGAAAAAATCCGCGTAATTCTACTCACCCAATCTGTTCTCTGAAAATAATCTGAGGTTAAGGAGTTATCCATATCTTTTCAATGTTCATGCTTTTTTTTGAATGATCATTATTTTACCTTCGATATTATTTCCAGACATGTCAATCTTATAATTTCTTTTCCCTCATTTTATTTCGAATAAACTCTTCATCTTTCTTAACTCTTATAAATGGCTACAACACCACTATTTAAAAAATTTCCCCTGCCATATAATTCGCGATCTAGATTCCACCTTTTGAATTTCTATACTTGAAGTCACTTAATCTTGTAGGATATCTGCTTGTGTAGATGTACTATTAATCTCCTCCCTTCTGGAGACATAAATGATTAAAATTCATAAATCATTGATATATTTCTTATAAATTCAGGGTGTCGAATAAATATTATTAGATTGGTATTGTGCCCGTCCCTGGGTTGTGTCAAATCGAATATAATTCCTTCAATAAATCGACGACTCATCGATAGCGGAAAGCATGAAATTTTATTAATTAACTCGTTGGACATTGCACATCTCCTTCCTTCGAGGCTTTGAGACTCATCACTTCGCTGAGAATCTTCTTTTCCATATCCAGAAGAGCCGGGGGTTTCTGGTACTGAATAAAAAGTGAGAAATAAGACTGACGAGAAAATTAGTGATAGAAATAATAAACAATTAATCGAGATCCTGAAATTTCACCGTTATGACCAGAGTATTGAACTGATGTGTGAAGGAAATTCTCTCCTGTTCAGGCTTCAAGGCAATTCTCTCTAAATCTGGAATGTTCAGCTTCTTAAAGTATTTTTTATTAGTCGTCCGAATAGTCAGTGTTCCATCATTATCAGCAGTTACTGAATAAACCTCTTTGGGATACGGAAGGTTTCTTATCCTCCATTCCAGACCTGTCTTCGTGATTCTCCTCGACAGAATGGGCTGAAAGGATCATTCTCATTAATCCACCACGAGATGCCAATCGATTATCAATTGATGATGATTTTATTCTAAAAAACGTACAGAGTAACAAGTCGATTTGTCTCTTAATCGAGTTTTCCGGGAATATCTCTGAATCTAAGACCCCCATCGAAATTCTCCACAGGACTTTTTTTGTAGAGTGAAACGAAAACTGGAGAAGAGGACGTTACGAAAATTTTCGTATCTCTTGCAGATTTGGAGATATTCCCGGAAAACTGATCTGTTACTCTAGTTTTCTATGCGAATGATTTCATGAGGTTTTTATCGGAATTATTCTCACAGCAGATGAACTCTCTCGAATACCACTGATTTCGAGATTATCCTCTTTTCTGGGCTCCGGATCACCAATTTCCACTGTCCAACCAACATCCTGTCCCAGTTTTCCTTTTTCTCTCCATGCCCTTCTCGTCACAACATTTGTCTCTAGGTTATATTCCTCAACAAGTTCTCTGCCGTCCTCCAACAGAAAATGTACCTTTCGTTTTCCTACAATAAATTAATAAATAACAACTGGATAATAAACGTCTGATGAGACTGAACTTTGTTTTCTTTAAATTCAAAATAAAATTCGGATCGTGATTTATAAAATGAACACGAGAAATTTCTTTTCAAATCGTGAAATCTCAGTCAATTATTGAATTGTAAAATTGTTTTTCTCTTGGAAGGTATACTGAGATAATCATTCCTGCCTATTATATTTATTTGTTTCACATTATTATCATTTATCTTATTTATTTATTATTGACATTTTAAAACGAATCGTTTTCAGACGAATTCAAGGAATTGAAGAAGAAATGAGAAGAGAGTTAAAAAATTGAATTAGATAATTGGCAATTAATGTAATTACGATAATTTTTTTTCAATCCATTTCTTTCCAGAGCCAAGACTCAAACAAAGGATTAATTAAGAAGTTATTTTATGACGATTTTTCTCTATTGATCAGAGAAGATGATTTTTTCACTATTACACTGACATGTCGTTTTATTGATTTTTTAAAATCGTTAATATTATCGAGAATCTAGAGAAAATAATCATGCAATAATGGAGTACTTGCCGTCTTGAATAATTGCTGTTTTTTTTGCTTTCTGCAGAACACTCAGCCACTGCTCAGACGCCATGTCTAAATAATGGCATTTCCATGGCAACCAGCTCATACGTCACAACCGGAGAATTGACCGCCATATTAGATCGATGCGCTGTACCGCTGCGTACTCGGCTCTCGAAAAATGGCGGGAGTAACCAAAGAGGATTGACTAAAGTAGAGGCTCAGTTCTGGAGGTTTGAGTGACCCCAGCGGCATCGTAGTAGCCGACCCTCTGGGGTATCTGCTCGTTAGCCGAATCAGCGACTTTTCAGTAATATCCCTCCAGCTTCCCTTTTAATAACTCTGAGCTCTTCGATGCCTCAGATTCCACTGACTGGAATTTTTGACGAGCTGATTTCAAAG